GTTGTTGTTGTTGTGTGTGTGTGTGTGTGTGTCGTGTGTGTGTGTGTGTGTGTGTGTGTGTGTGTGTGTGTGTGTGTGTGTGTGTGTGTGTGTGTGTGTGTGTGTGTGTATGCGTGCGCGCATGTGTTTGCACATCAATACATCCGTCTAGAGATTTACGCTCTTCTGCATAAACCAGCCATCGACAGCAGTCTTAGTACACTATTGTAGCTAGTACTTTAGTTAACAGTAGATGGCACTAGTGTGCGCATAAACCTTTGCGGCCGATCCGAACACAACGACCTGGCACTAACTAGGCAGGGCTGCCAATAGGTGTGCATACATGGAAAAACGTAATTCTCCCGTCGAACACAATATGTAATATTATTTATTAATTTAATGACAGTAAATTGGCAAAGGATACTCAATGTGAGCTTGCAAGCTCCTCGCCGTCAGAGCAAACCGATAATGTAGATACGCGTGCAGGGTCGTTATTAGTTAACACTGGAATAGAGACAGTGTCGATATAGCCTTTCTTGTGTCTTGCCCCGCACTCACGCTATGAAAGACACTACAGAAGAAGCAGTGACGATATGAATCAAAATATACATAAGAACTCGGCTGCTGTAGCTTGCACCGTTTCGTGAAATGTTCCCGAGTCCATAATTTACGCGATTGGTCCATAAAATCTTTTCACGGCGCAAGAACCCAGCGCTAGTGTCACCAGAGTACAGGCCTATAGGGCAACAGAACCCGACAATTTATAGTCTTACGGCTTGCCTGTCAATCTCCGAGGGGAAGCACCTGTCTACCACAGCTTATGGACGCTCGTTAGATGTTCGTTCATCTAACTACACGCTAGCCTATCCTTGGTCAGATGCTTCGTCGTGCATGTTGACAACTCCCTAGACTCACGGCCTTCACTGAGCATTAGCTAAATAACGTTAGTTTACATTTACTGGATACAGCCACGCTACTTGTGGCAGGACTATTTGGAGAGAAGCATATATGCTAAGATGGCCTTAAATGAGGAGTATAGAGGCAACACCTTGTGTACATTTATATTGGCGGATCGCCAATATGCACGGCGCTCTAGTGCAGTTAGTTTCAGCCCACTCACTTGAATACAAACATCAGACTATTATCTGGCCATATAGTGATTGGAGTAACGCTGTGTACAGATGGAAGGATATCAGCTAGGCCCATCAGAGTGGTTTGAGTGAATTTATAAAGATCACGGACCTGTCCTGGGTTAGATTCACCACTCTCGTTATGCGGCCTATGCCCGTACCATATATATATATATATATATATATAGTCCGAAAGTACGATCAGTGAGGGGACTGGATACTAGCCACGTCCGTGCCTACTGTAAAGGAAAGCGTGGAGATGGCAGGTAAGAATGTAATAGGCGACTTCTTTTAGTTTAATATATTCCTATACTGTTGGAATTTTACACGGAAAATCTTTTTCAAAATTCTTTTGGTGGAAATTTCTGTTTGCCGCACTCTTGCGTGCGCTAGGCTAAACATTATTCGACATTCTTTCGACAAACCGTAATTACCCAATTTCAAGATGCACACACACGGGCGCAACACGCATAGCAAAACGCAGATTTACTCCACCTGCTACGGAAAAATCCTTGACTGAAAATATGGGACCATGACGCAAGTGGACCGAAACTAAGCGAAAGGAAATCCAACGGCAGATCAGTAAATACCAAAACACGCTAGCTTGGGCGGGGGCGGATTCGCTAGTGGAGAATCAGATGAGATGTCAGCAGATGGGATGTCAAACTGTCTCTCAGTTTTAAGCCGATGTAAAGCTGCAAAATTGATGGAGAGCCGTGGGAAGGTGAAGGCCGTGTAGGGGTCAGCAAATGACATCGCCACCACGCAACGAACGGATGAAGCCCGGCCGAACGCACACACATGCACACACACACACACACACACACACACACGCACGCACGCTTACGAGCTTAATACCCATAACGGAACGACTCTGGCAAGGCTTAAAGTAGTAGGTACTTGTAACGACAAATATCACGCGCGCGCCCGAAGCTACAATCGCTGCTCGACGGATGATGGCAATACATATTTAAAACAGACCTCTCCACGTTGAGAAGATTAACACAGCAACTCCGCCCGGCGTCCGACTGACAACGCCCTCTATCGATCGGCGAACAATCCGACTTAACTACGTAATCTATATTATGCTCTAGTCGCTAATCTAGAAGATGCGGTGCGGTTAGATATTACAGCATAAGCCAGCGCGGGATCTCTTCGCGGCCATTTAGTGCCTTATTATCGTCATTTAATGGCGCCCTACAAGCAAACTGGAAAATGTTAACTATAACGGAATCGCTCCCTCACCAGGGGCGGTAAATCAACCTCTCTCGGTAGAACAACGATACGCGATGCACCAAAGAACGTCACTGCACAAAGTACTGCCAACTGCTGGCGGCGGCTAGCGAGAGTTAATAACAAGAACAACACTCGGGGTTCTATCAACTGTAAACAACTAATCGCCGTGAACAATTGCTGCTAATCACGGCTAGCGACGACTAACCGCTGCTAAACGCTGCTATATATTGCTAATTATTGCTAACCCTGCTAACTATTGCTACACATTGCTAAAAGCTGCTAACCACTGCTAACCATTGCTAACAACTGTCAATCGGTGCTAACCACAGCTAACTATTGCTAGCTGCTGCTAACCGCTGCTAACAACTGCTGGCAAGTTCAGTGCCGATTCGCGCAGCAATGTTTCCGCTTGCAGTATACGTGATGCAGCATGAGAGACACGTCACGCCGTTTCACTGATGAGCCGACGATACGAGCGGTGTTGAACGTGCTGATGATTCCTTGTATCACATTACCCGCATTCTCCACTCCAGCGATTCGCTCTACTTATAGATATGGCAAGCGCATACACCAATCGTCCTCGATTTTCAACTGCATTGATTCATTCTCGGTTTCCAAAGAACTCGCACAAAATACCATCCAGAACAATCTGATCGAGCACGGAGGTGCATCATGCCCGAGAAAGCTAGCTCGGAACGCTCACAATGCAACGGATAGTAGAATGGGCCGTATTTAATCTTATCATCGATCACATTTCCTATTATACGATGAGAGGCTGGAGAGCGCTTCCCTACAAGTGACACTATTAGAGCATGCCGTATTAAATCAGGCTGCCTGGTGACACTGCAAGTAATATGTGAAGCTGACGTAGCTTCCTACTATAGCCGGAGAGACTCAGTCGTATAATGTACAGCACTTCATTAGAAACTACATCTGGACGTATCCGTATTAGCTATTGTCCCTACTGGTTGCATATAGCATGTACAGATACTAGCCGAGTCACATCCGGATCACATCGCACTTCCGTTGTTCTGCCGACGAGGTGAAATCGAGTTAAATATGACGTTTTCCCCTCTACGTGATTACGTCATAAACTCCATAAAGTCCATAATCTATACGTGTGCATCATCCAGACCTTGCTTCCAACTGTCTCCTGATAACGCCGTATGCATAATACTTATTACACTGACTACGTTTTAGGGCACGATGGCACACGTAACAGGCGAGAAATGTATATAACAACACACGACATTCATAGCATCAGCCGGCGCGTAATACTATCAAGAGCTAATAAATACCTGCGTGTATCTAATAGGCGTTTATTAGCTCTTGATACTATATATAGTTTGCAAGATACACGCACACATATCTAACTATCTATCTATATCTCTATATATCCATACAGATATATACAGTATGTATATATACATATGTATATATATATATATGCTTTTAAAACGAATTTTGTTTACATAAAACGTAAAATGTATAATCATAGTTTACGTGACGCGGACGCGGTTATTTACACGTTCACTCGGCTACGCTCTATTTACACGTGCGAGCGACGAGCCACATAAATGGGAGCATCGGAATGAAAGTCTCGTAGAGCCAGATCTCGGTAGCATTTATAGAAACATTCAGAGGAACATTTACGTGAAGGTTTTGATGTACTTGCGCGCTGAATTTGTTTATCACCGCATTAAGCGCGTCGGCTAAGTTCTGAGACAATCGTTTCGGTGCTGTTAAATTCTCTAATCATCAAATAGTAAAGAACATTCTTCTCGCGCTGTAAACATAAACGTGTTTCAAGACGCCGTATTACTTTGGCCGGTATCACACCATCTGTCTCTCGCAACGACAGAGCAGTGGCAAAGACTTTCGTAAAAAAGGATGCGAGTTGGCAATACGCATCCAGATATTACTTTCGAGGAAAGTTAGAAAGGTGTACATTTGGTACGTTATGTTATATTATATTATATTATATCATAATTAGGGAATCCGATAGAACCAAAACCATCACCGCCAGCGCTAGGGCAGAGGTTGCTTGAAGTTGTAGAACCACGGCAAAATTCGTCTAATGTTACCATAACTTTGCATACCGTTACATTCCGTTCACTAGACGACGAAGATAGAATTGGACAGTGTCTAACATACGATAATCCATGCTCTTGTGATGAGAGACAATAGGAAGCTTATACATGGTAATCTCTATAAGAGCCACCTAGTTCAGTGTATTGGACAATGACAATGTACTGTTCCGCTTACCACTAGTATCTGCGATGTCTGTGAGAGTTTAGGCAGATAAAAGGTAGTTATAGCCACTGCGAATAATATCAGACGTCAGCGATAAGATGCAACGCCCGTAAGACAAATTAAGATATATACGTATGTCAGTTCAAGTAATTTTGCTCTCCGATCGAATCGGTGATGAACAACACCCGATACATCTGTCTAAGATGTGATTTAGTGAAACTACAAAGCTGAAATCCTCAACGACAGGAATGCACCGGTAAACTGAGTTACTGTGGCTAGATGTGTCTGCCCATATTGCCGATTGGCACTATTGATTACCTATTGCAACCAGACGATTTTTGACCGGATATTGTGAAGGCAACAACTACACTGGCCGCAGAATGTGCCCCGCCGAAAGCAATGTCCATGAAACATTGCTCACAGCCATTATTACGAGCTTACCGTGATGAAATTATTGCCCATATACAAAACATAATATAATACAATATCTATAAAGAATACTGGAATTTCTATCGGCTCATGAGATTGAGACGTCACTTTCCTCTGTAGTTGTTAATATAAAGAAAACAGCATCGACACACGGTGCCGTTAATACTGCGTACCTTGACCGGGGATGCACACTTTCTCGTTACTTCGTCTCACATCTAGTATTCGCTCTTCGCACTGGCTAAAAGTCGGCCTACGAACACGGACCGGAGAAGCGACACGATGATGACGTCACGACACTACCAGTATTGTATCAGGGCGGCGGCCCGCGCCTCGCTGTTTCCGCGCGCACCCCTCTACCGTGATCAACGTCAGCTGTTCATAACGAGAGTAGACAGCGAAGTACAGAGGACTGTCTACTGCTACGACAAAGAAAACGGACTGATCAGCCGGGTACACTGATGTTTTAGGCCGTCGGATTAACGGAAGATAAACGCATCTGTGCTATTACATGCGTATTTTCCGTACCAAACATCGCGGAAGCTGCAGGCGAATTTTAACACATCATTGCATGCAACCGCAAACATGTTCGCGGCCCAATGTCAGCACAATTACCATACCATACAATCTTATATTAACAGTGAGCAGTGTTGTCACTACATGGATAGGTGTGGAAAGAATTGCCACTGGCTGACAACGTATAACAGCATGCTCGCACAGGGAGGCGTTGCACTATAGCGGGCACATTAACGCTCCTTAGCCATAACACCGAAATACACCAGTGTCGTTAGAAAGTATAGCTTGCTGGTAATCGAAAGAGAACGGTACACGGACGGCGACCTGAGGACGACGTAAGCATGTCGGAAAAACCAACCGCCGACGAATTTCCCCTCGTATTATTGAGTATGCAACACGGGTAGACTATACCCTACGACACCCATCTTCTGTTGTACCATGGTGTCTGTATGCTGTTACGACTGCGGGTGTTGTAGTGTATACGATATTTTCCTACTGCCGCGCGTGCGATCGCTAAACTAGCAGCTCGTTCAGCTGTCAGAACATTGCACACAGCGAATCAGAAGCACTAGGAGCGCCGCCGGCATCATGGCCGCGCGGTCGCATCGCTGCTCTCTTGTTTTTGCGCGCGAAAACTCCGACGGCGTATAATATATCCTGGTGGAGATGAAGATTATCTAAATTTCGTCCGACGCCTAGCATTTGCTACGAACTCGCTCTCGCTCGCCCTCTGCGTTCGTCGCACGTCCTATTCCTTACTTAGCAGCTTTAAGGATCCTCCTTTAGCAGCTGATTTGCACGCTGGTTGGCCATCGAGATCCTCGTGTCAACTAGCTTCCCCTGAAAAGAGACGAGCAGCAGCCATGATTAGCAGACAGTACAGCAGACGACTGCGTTGCCCGACACAACGAATTTGCGACGTTATTTCATCCACTAGGCGGCGCGTCAGTGCGACATGATCGTAATTCTATAGGGCACCGTACATTGTTGGCGCCGGCGCACACGTCACGTTTCGTCAGACTCGATCAAGACCGCTAGTGGTTCGAAAAGGTGTTGCCATGTACGCTGACGCGATAATCTCAGTATAATCTCACGGAGAGAATCAGCGTCTTTCGTAGACCCTGTTGACACGGGCGGATCTATCGTTGATCTATAGGTGAAAGACCGTAACTGAGGCTTTATATAAAACGCTACGAGGTTGAGTGCGTAGATCATTCAGTTAGCAGTACTGCTGCGGTAAATCGTACATTTTCAAACTGCTACGGTGGTACCATCTCGCAACATGGCGACGTACGTCTTTCTGAATCGCTACCCTGACGCGTAGTGGTATTTATTATAACAGGATCCACGTAAAACACTCTGTCTCTTGTTTAATGCATTGTTGGTTTCATCAGAAGATATTACATGCCTCATATAAACCAGATCATAAATGTTGCTACCCTAGTATTGGCTCAAATAAGTGTCGCAGTCACTCTAGCTAAGGCTAAAGTGTTTATCTTTAGTACACACACACACACACACACACACACACACACACACACACACAC